CTTGTTCCTCACCTGAAGAATATGATATTTGTTTAGTATTCGCATCAAGAACTTACGAATCAAAAGATATTGAAATTATACCTCAGTATCTTTATTCAAAATTGCAACCGAAATTTTTAGGTGGGATGTGTTGTCGACAGAATTTACGATAACAAGAATAATAATGGTCATGGCATTTCATTATTATTAGGAAATCGTAAGAAAAATGAATCAAGATTTGATGGCTTTTCCATAAATATCGAAGGATCAAAACGTCATCAATATAAATCAAATTCAGTCGGTAGATGGAAAAATCTTGACGATTTTAAAGATAAAAATGACAAATTATCTAATTTATTTGATATTAAAAATTTCAAATCGATTTCAAGTGTTCCTAATGAATTTGATTTACCCGAGGAACTGAATTTGTTGAAAATTAAAAATATAAGGTAATTCTTTTTTAAAATAAAATAATTTTTTTTTATTTTTTTTTTTTTTAAAAAAAATCTAGATGTTAAACGAAAAATTTAAATATAGTCCGGACTTGATTCTCTTGGCTTCTGATTCTGAGCCGTATCAATTCTTGGAATCTTTAGATCATCATTTTCCTACAAGTAAAAAGGTTTACTTCTTTATTTTATTTTATTTTTTTTAATTATTTTCACCTTCTAATAATTTAATTATTTTTATTTATATTTTCTTAAAAAAAAAAAAAAGATTGGAATTATTGGGTAAACTTATTCTTAATTTCCTTATAAATTATTTTTTATAACAAATTTTAAATTTTTCCATCAAAATAATAGGACATCAACACCTTTCTTAACAGGTCGGCCTTTTAGTTTATTTCATAATAATAATGTTTTGTCTAGGGGTATTATAGGAGTTGCAATTACAGACGAATCATTCAAAAATCAACTTGACGTCGATCATCCATCGTTAAATGCCGTTGGGGATCCATTGAAAATCACGAGGTATTTTAATCAGAAATTAGATTTTTTAAGAGTTAATTAAATGTTACTTAATATCGTTGAAATTACTTCTTGAAGTTGTCGTGGAAATATAATTTTAGAACTTGATGGTACAAATCCTACCAGATTACTTCTAAATAGATTACAATCTGGTAATGACAAGGGAATTTTATCCAAAGAAACCGAATTTTATCTTGGATTATATGATCATAATGACAAGGATAATCAACTTGATGTATTTAACGTTTTGTTATTTGATATATGTATTCCTACAAATAGAAGAAACACTATTTAACTTGTAAATTTATTTTTATTTTAGGAATCTAATTTAATGATTAATAAAATATCAAGTGGAGATCCCGTGAGAGGAAATATGGCAGTTGATACTACAATGGATCTTAAGGAAGGGCAATTTGTGAAGGTATGAGAAGGTATTTAATATTACCAATCTACCATAATTTATATAATATATTAATAGACGGTTCTTTTTTACCTTTTTAAAAAAAAAAGTTTTTTTATAGGAAGAAAGAATTTGATGCGACATATTTACAAAATAAATTAAAAGAAAATGGTGATTTTTTTTAGTTTAACGAACTATTATCATTTTTGTTACTAAATTAACTTTCTTTTTATTATAGTTGAAATACAGATCGCAATGTCAACATTAGATCGGGATATAATAGACCCGGTAGCTATCAGTAATATGTTAAAGGTATATAATAATAAGAATATTTTTGGAGCCATTGGTGAGAATGGAATTATAATTGGTAAAGGTAATGGAATCACATGGGTATGTGATATATCATATTCAACTGCTTTATTTTCTAAATAAATCAATTTTAACCTAATAATCTAAGCAAAAGTTATGATTTTAAAAAGCTAATTTATAATTTATAATAGGCCATGTGAATTATTAACATTTTCGTAGTCACCTTTCATCCAATTATGTAATTGACATACAATAACATTTGAGGCTTATACATCTACCAAATTACCCAAATTTTTCTGCGTATAGAAAAGTTGTAATTTTCCTACTTTTTTTTGTTATATGTGCTTATTCATTTCCAGAAGTTACTTTAATATTTCCAAGAAATCTTGATTCTTTGGAAATTCTTTCTTTTCATTCTGTGAACTCGACATAATATTTCGAATATCTGGCCATCTTCGTATCTGAGATTATTGAATCCCCTCCCCAAAATATAATTTATGATTCTGCGTAGATAATATTCTATATATGGAACTTATAATTAATTTACAAAAAATGTTCATTTTC